CGGACAGCTCCAAGCTGGATGGGCCAGACATGCAGAGGTAGGGAGTGGGCAGGGGTGTGGGCAGGCAGGCAGCCTGCAGTAGAGCGTGAATGGGACACAGCAGGGCACGGGGCTGGCCAGCCGGCTGAAACATAGCCTCCAGAGTCTACAGAAATGCACGGCCAGGTCCAGACTGGCGAAGGTTAGCAGGGACTCATCGGAAACTAAGTGTCCTGCAAGCTGAGAAAGGATGTATTTTTTTCTGGTCAACTTTTGAATATTTCAGCATGGATTTTCCCATAGCACAGTTAAACTTCTGAGTGACCTGTCCTGACAAGTGTCCAGGCCACTGTCTACTTACTACCTTGATCACATTTTAATGTCACCCTGTGATTTATTTTTTTTATAATTTGCTATAGGGTGTATGTGCTCACCAAAGAAAGAGAAAGGGAGAGAAAGGGAGAAAGCACCTCCAAGGGCAGAATAACCATGCCACAATATCTTCTCCTCCATTCTCCTCTCAGGATTTTGAGCACACACGCACACGTGCTCATCATGTTTTTCAAGTTGCCAGGTCTGGGACTTGAACCATGCTGTCGGCTATGTGGGATCTGGTCACCTTAACCACCAAGCGATTTGGCAGGCTCCACCCTGAGCATATATATCTGCCATGAATGTACAAGTGCTTGTGTGTTTTGGGCACTGTACGCCTTGGAGGAGAGCTTGGTGTCACCCATGTCACTCTTCCTCCTGAGTCCCGAACCTGGCTGCCACTCTGCCTTTAGGCAGGGCTCCAGGCTCAGTCCTTGCCCTCCTCACTCTCTATGGGCCTCTCAGTGAGCTCCATCCAGCCACTCTGTTTGATCATAACCATTTGGTCATAGACCATTCCTGAATCAAACCAGCAAACCAACAGCCTAGAAGCCTAGGCCAAGCTGAAGCTCCAAACCGCCAATGGTTTCCTAAACAGCACTGCCTTGTGGATACAGAGACTTCACCATGTTCAACTCCAACTCAGTACCTTCCCCCTACTGCCCTCCAAGAAAACTGGGCTACTGCTCCTCTGCTGTTTTTTTTCATCATTACCTGCCCAGGGAGCTGAGCTAAAAATCTCAGTCATCTTGCTTCTTCCCTCAACAACCTCCCCACGGCAAGTGCTGTCTCCAGGGCCTACTGCTTCCCTTTCAACTGCCTTCTGACTGTGACTCCTCAGCCTTGCCCTGGTTCAGCCCTTTGTACTTGGAATCTAGGTTTTTGCAAAACAGAGGTATCATACCTGTCAGGATCCATGAGGACAAAGGAAGCAGGCTTGCTCTTTTCAAATAAAGGGAATGTAAGTATGGAATTGTCTGCAAAAGGGATGAAAGAGATGAGAGAACAAGCAGGATGGTTTTGCACACAAGAACAGCAGGAAGCCACCAGCGCCCCCAGGGCCGAAAAGGACAGAGGAAAGAGGTGGAATTTTAAGAGCCCAGAAGCGGGTGTCACTGGGTGGGAGCTGAAACCCAGCAGACGCTCCCTAACGGGAGGTAAAATCACAGAGAGGTCCATCTGACAGGAGCAGGAACAACTTGAGGACACAGTAGTCAGGAAAGAGCTGTCTGAGGAGGAGGGAGAGAAACGCCCTGATTTCTCTCTCCTTCCTGCCAGTGCCTCCTGTTGGCCAGATCTAGGCATAGGCACTTGCCGTGGGCAGCTGGACGCAGTCCGCAGGAGTCAGGCCCCCTGACATGTAGAACAATGGGGAGGAAGGGTCCAGGGCCGGCTCCCACTCAGTCTCCATTCCATAATCTTTCATTCCTTCTCCTCTAGCCTCCGCTCTATGCCAGAAAGATCTTTCTTGCTTAGAAACTTAATTAAGTCGTTCCTCCTGCTTAAAACTTGGCAATGCCTGGCAGCTTCTTGGCAGGAAAAAATTAGGACTTGTCCACCAGCCTGGCTTTGTCAATCAATTGCAAATATGGGAAGTGCTGCTTCCCCTGACTATCACATGTATTGGGTTTGCTTTAGGTTCTAGCTCATTCCATTGCTAATAAAAGAAAAAACACCTGAAACTGGGTTACTTTTTTTTTTTTTTAAAAAAAAAAAAAAAGAGGCTTATTCAGCTCATGGTTTGGAGGGCAAATGCCCAGGCCCATATCTGGCAGGCCTCTTGCAGAGTCCCAGTCACATCCGTCAGGGCAAGAGCACCTCAGAGTGGCTACGTTCATGAGCGTCTCTGCTCTGGTCTCCTTCCCGCTCCTTATAAACTCACTGGAAGTCAATCGTAGGCCCCACTCCAATCACTTAATCACTCCCAACACCCTTTCAGTACCGTGAAGGTATTAGTTTTCTTTTAATACCTTCACAACCAAATCTCAACACATGAACTTTTGGGGAACATGAACCATAGTACTTTAGAACACTGGATAAGCTGCTACTCAAAAGTATTACTCTAGAGACCAGCAGGTGGGGTTATGGTTACATCACTGGACTCCCACATAGTTGACCATGGTTCAAGTCCTGGATTTGGTGGCTTAAAACTGATGTCAGGTGCACGTGTGTGCATGCCCAAAATCCTGAGAGGAGAATGTAGGAAAAGGGACTGTGTGTGGCCATCTCCCCTGGGGTGCGATTTCTTGTTTTGTTTTTTTTTGTCTCTCTGGCTAGCATATGCACCCTATAGCAAAAATCTCTCTTAAAAAAAAGTTAATTTTTTTTTTTAAGTAGTATTACTGTAGACCAGAATAAATACTACTACTCACAATCATCGATCCTGGAACGAGCTAAAGAAGATAACTTTCTGACCAGGGTTGTCTGCCATGATCAAGAGGCTCTGAGCCCCAGTGAAGAGGTGTTCTATAGGGGAATAGAGAGAGCTACCAAAGGCCGCGAAAACCTAATAGAACGAGAGTAACAAGGGATTGGATGAGTAATCAGAAAGCTTCCACAAAGAAAAGCCCTGGCTCAGATGCTTTGGCTGGTGAATTCTACCAAATGTTTAAAGAAGGACTAACATCAATCCTTCACAAACTGTCCCAAGGAATACTTCACAATCCATTTCATGACACCAATATTACACTGGTATTAAAACCAAAGACATCGCAAGAAAACCACCAGTGTCCATTACAAACACAGATATAAAAACCCTCAACAAAACATGAGCACACCGTATTCAGCAGCAGAGAAAAAAGGATTATGTACCATGACCCCATGTGGGAGTTACCCAGAAATTCCAGGTTGGTGTCATAAATGAAAATCAATACATGTAACACACCAGATTAAAATGACAAAGCACAAAATTTCCAAGAACATCTCAAGAGAATAAGCATTGGACAGTACCTAATAGTCATTGATTAAAACACACAGAATCCTGTGCGCAAATGTTCATGGCGACATCATTGCAGGGGCAGAAACAAACTAAAAGTAGAAGTGAGTGTGCTCAAGAGGGTCAAGTCTACCCATGAAAAGCCCGCCGCTGACAAACATCGTATTTACTGGTGAGAGACTGAGAACTTGTCTCTAAAACATGGATGTCTGCTCTGGTCACTCATTTCAATATTGTACTAGAGGTTCTAGCTGATGCAACTAGGCAACAAAAAGAAACAAAGGCGCTCAAATTGGAAAGGAAGAAGTAAAACTTTGTTTTACAGATGACATCATCTTACATGCAGAAAACTCTACAAAAAAATTCATTAAAAAAATGCATTGGAGCTAATAAATGCATTCAGCCAGGCTGCAGTATAAAACAATACACAGGGGCAAGCAGGTGGCATGGTGGTTAAGGTGCTGGACTCTCACATGACTGACCATGGTTCGAGTCCCAGACCTGGCAGCTTGCTTTCTCAATCTCTCTCTCTGTGTCTCTCTGGTCAATTGAAGAAGAAGAATAAATAATAATTAATTAAAAAAAAACAAGAAGCTAGACATAAAACACCAAATATTTTATAATTCTGTTTATATAAAATCTTTATAATAGGCAAATTTATAGAGGAAGAATGCTGACTAGGGAATCAGGACAGGCGTGAGAGTTCAAGAAATGTAAAGTGACTGCTAATGAGTACAGATTTAAGGAGATATAATCTACCTATCATTAAACATATACAATATAACCTTTACCTCTTAAAGAATTATTTTACTTAACTTTATTTATTGCTATCATTATTAATCTGACGAGAGAGAGAGAGAGAGAGAAAGCAAGCCACCAGGTTCAGAAATCAAACCGTAGTTGGCCACGTGGGAATCCAGCACCTTTAATCACCACACCACCTGCCAGCCCCACAATAGAACCTTTTAAACTATACCTTTTCATGTGTTTGAGCATCTTCAGAGATGAACAAACAGTTACCACAATTTCAGAAAATTTTTATCATCCATAAAAACACACGAAAAGGTATAGTTTAAAAGGTTATATTGTACATATTTAATGTACATGAATTATAGCTCCATAAATCTGTAATTTAAAAAGCAATCAGAGGGGGGCAGCAGATGGCATAACAGTTACATCTCTGGACTCCCATGTGGCCGACTGCAATTTCCAGTCCTGGATCCAGGGGCTTGAAAATCACACCAGGTGTGTATGCATGCGTGCCCAGATCCCAGGAGAACGGAGGAGAAGCGATGGTGGTGTAGCCATCCTCCTGGGGTGGGAGTGATTTCTCTCTTTCCATCTCTCCATCTCTCTCTGTCTTTCTGGCGAGTACATGCATCCTATAGCGAAAACCTCTCCCCCCCCCAAAAAAAATCAGTTTTCTATAATATAAACTTAATATAATAAAAATAGATAAAGTTTCTATATGTTAAATTGTGGAATCAGCTTAATAGATACACCTTAAAAAACTAATCTTATGAAAATTTTCTTTTTATAACAGTGTTTGAAAGCGTGCCTGTTAGAAAACTAATAAAAAGCATATTTTCACTTATTTCACAGGTTTTAAATTTTTAAACAAAAAATCATGTTTTAAATCATTGCATTTAAGATTACATACATCCTATGTATTTAGCAAATAGGAGTGACAATTGTAATCATGTTCAATATTTGTGTAACTGCCTGTAATTTGTTTCAGGTAGTTGATGTCACTTGGCGATATTCTTGTAAGCATGAAGAGGTGATCTCTAGGAGAACCAAGGTTAAAGAAGAAGTACTTCGAGAAACCATTAATGGGCTTAATAAGCAGGTATGTGATGCTGTTCATTTTTGAGAAGGTATTTGAAATTTTGTATAAAATCAGGAGTAATCACTTTTTAACCCATTGACATTCTTACAGTAGAGGCATTATTTTACAAGCAAGTATAATATGTTAAAGGTCTTTTTGTTCATCGAAAATGTCTATGATTTATTTAAATATATGCTTTTTAGATTAAGTAGTCATTTTTATTCTCAAAGTTGAATGAAAACGCTCATTACTTATAGTACATGACATGAAAAGGGAATTGTCTTATCAAAATAGTTGTGACTTGAATGTAATGACATAAACTTGCTTATGTACATATGTAAACATATACCCACACATACACTTCCATTTATCTGTGTATGGAAATACCTGAAATAAGGCACAGGAACTTATTAACAGTGACGACTTCTGAGGAGAAGAACTGGAGGCCCAAGGTGAAAAGTTCAATTTTAACTTTATACCCCATTGTTGATACTGAAAATGTTAACGCTATACATGTGGGTAGGCTTTTTGGAGTTTCATTTGTTTTACTTGTTTTTTTATTGCCAAGTGGCACAGGCAGTAATCAGAGAGGGAGAAAGCACCCCAGAGTGGAGCGCAGTCATGCTGCAATCCTTTTTCCTCCATTCTTCCCTTTGTCAGGGCCCTCGTCCGTCAGGAGTTTGGGCACACACACAGACACACACACGCTGAGGCTGGGACTCGAACCGTGGTTGGCCATGTGGGATCCAGCTCCCTTGATCACTGAGCTACAAGACCAACCCTGTTTGTTTGTTTTAACTTTAAAATATAAACAACTGCTGTTTCTTCTGGCAGGCAGAATAAAGGCATATCACTTTAATCCAGTGGACGATTTAGATTCAAGGCGAAATTTCATTCTGTTTTGAATTTGTTCTTGCTTACCATGTGTAGCCCTTTAGAGATCCCAACCTACAGTATTTGCAAGAGCTCCTTACCTCGGAAGACTCTGAATTCTGATTTCTTCCCAAAACTCTGTTTCTGCTAAAAAGTTCTTCGTTTTTTTTAGCACTTTAGTTATACCATTTTGTGCTTAGCTTCTCAGCCTCATCTCATGCCACTTAGTAACTACCAAATGCCTGAAGAGAAAAGAGATGCAGCATATTCCCTTCACCTAAATTCGTTTCTTCCCTCAGGAGCTTGGCTTCTCCAGTTTTGGTTACCTTGGGACCTTTCCATTCCATTGGAGCAGGTGCATGTCTAGAGTGTGTCTGTGTGCGTGTGTTTTCCCAGCTTTTCTAAGCAGGATAGTCATTGTACCACATGCTCATCCATCAGAGCCAGAAAAAGTGACTACCTCCATTTAATTGTAGGATAGTAGAGGTCATGGAGAATTAGAAATAGGTCTTAAACAATTTTTCAACATAAAATTTGTAAAATTGTTTGAAGTTTTTACAATGTCCTTTTTATTTCCTAAATAATATATGTATAAAATAAAATTAGTTACTTCTTTCAAGACCTTTTAAAAGGCATATGTTTTAAGTATATGTTATTGCGTAGAGATAGACCTTTACATTCCCTTCATCTTAACATGTTTTAAAAACCTGATTTACAGAGGCAACTCTCTTTGTCAGAGAACAGAAGAAAAGAACTTCTCCAGAGAATAATTGTGGAGCTTGTTGAATTTATATCTCCCAAAACCCCAAAACCTGGAGAACTTGGTGGAAGAATATCTGGGTCAGTGGCTTGGAGAGTAGCCCGAGGTGAAATGGGTCTAGAGGTATTTAATTTATACTACTACAATCATCCTTTTACTTGCGGACTTTCTAGATGATGTGCTCAGCTTGTAGAAAAATGCTATGACTTTTCAATGGACTTTGTAGAATAATTCTTTAAAAATGCAAACATTTGGAGAAAGCCAGTAATTGATCAAAATAGTCTGATCACATTTATAAGAGTTAGCAAAGCTTTTTTTTTTTT